CAAATACATGAGTTTTTCCCTTTTTTTCTTATCCATTAGGTAGGGTAAGTGATATTCTTTAAATATCTACATGGGATGGGTTGGGATGGGTACCCACTAATTTCCCCATATGTGTTTTTTTTTTTTTTTTTTGTAAGATTCACACCTAAAACTAAATATACATTCAATCTTTTTTCTTTTTTTTTATTTATTTATTTTTTCAGGTTCAAAACCAATTTTTTTTTTTATTATTATAAGATTCACAACCAAAGCTAAATATGCATTCAATCTTATTTTATTTTATTTGGCTCAACAATAAAATCAAATACACATTAATTAACATTGTCACATTATTCTTGTCAAATTTTATACATATCTAAAATTTTTTAAATTTATTTAAAAAAATTAAGGACACTGTCTAGTGTTTTTTTTTTTTTTAAGATTCACAACCAAAGCTAAATATACATTCAATCTTATTTTATTTTATTTGGCTCAACAATAAAATCAAATACACATTAATTAACATTGTCACATTATTCTTGTCAAATTTTATACATATCTAAAATTTTTTAAATTTATTTAAAAAAATTAAGGACACTGTCTAGTGCAGGTTTCGATTTACTTTTCTATGTTATTTTATTTTGTTATGTATTGTAATTTTCAGAATAGTTTGCTTGTTCTGAAATTTCAATTAACGAGTATGAATCTAATTGTTTTATGTTATCATACAATTTATACAACATATATATATATATATGAATGTATTTGAAAATAAGAAAATTGTAGAGAATCGAAACAAGCATGAGTCGTGATTGATTAGAAAGGATAGGTACAAAGATTTATTTGCTGGAAAAACAAAAAGGGGATACAAAGTCTTACTAAATAATTTTTTTTTAAATAAAAGAATTTTTCTTAGTTATGAACAGATTTAACTGAAATCAACTTGTTTTTCAATGTTATGCTTCATTTTTTTAGATAGAAAATATTTTTTATTGAAAAATATTATTTATAAAAAAAATTAAAAATATATTTTTTTATATTTGGTTGTGGTGGTGGTGGTGATGGAACGAAGGTGAAAGTAGAGATTGTGACATAGTGGTGGGGTGATGGCGGCAGTGATGATGGTAGTGGCTATGGTGATGGTAGTGTGACAATGAAGGTTAGAATAGTGGTGATGGTGTTGTGAAATTAATAAAAATTTAATTGAATAAACATTTTTATTTTTTAAAAGTAACAAACAACAAAATTCGTGGGGACTAAAGGAAGAAGATGGAGGATGGATTGGGTGTGGTAAGACATATATATCTTAAAATGAGTGGTTCAGATTTGTTAAAAGGTATAATTAGATTTTTGAATAAATTAAAATGAATGGTTCAAATTTGCTAAGAGAAAGATGATTTAATGTCTAAAATGTCCGTGGCTAAGAGATCAACAAACAATTTCTTATTTATGCTCTGATGCAATTTAATATGGGTCTTATAACACTTTCTTCAAACAGGTTCTTTCATATTTTATTTCTTCAAACAGGTTCTTATAACATTGTAATCAGGTTCTTATAACATGTAGGGGAGAGAGTGAGAGTGAGAGAGATAGTTGTAATTTTTTTTTAATCTTCCACGTTCTTCCATATTTTTTTTTCAATTACTAAAACTTATTTGATTGTTTCAAAATTATATATTTGATTATTATAAAACAAATTTTTTAATTAATTAATCAATGTGTATTTGATTTTGTTGTTGAACCAAATAAAAAAAAAATAAGAATGAATATATATTTAGCTTTTGTTGTAAACCTTAAAAAAAAAAAAAAGTTGTTAACATTAAATATATTAAAAAAGAAAGAAAAAAGATTGAAGGTATATTTAATATTTAGTTAAAACCTTAAAAAAAAAAAAAAAAAATATTAAAAAAAAAAAAAAAAAGATTGAAGGAATATTTAACTTTTTTTGTGAAACTTAAAAAAAAAAAAAAAAAAAAAAAAAAGATTGTTAACATTAAATATATTAAAAAAGAAAAAAAAAGATTAAAGGTATATTTAGTTTTTGTTGTGAACCTTAAAATAAAAAAAATAAAAAAAATAAAAAAATAATAATAATTATTAACATTAAATATAAAAAATAAAAATAAAATAAAAATAGGGATTAAATGGATTGGGGAAAATTCATATCCATTAATAAATGAGGAGGGTGGTACTTATGAGGAATGGGAAATGAAGAATGGAAAAAATTTATTATAGGAGAATGGGAATAAAAAATTAATATCCACCCCATTAACTCCCATTGTCATCCCTAACTCTCCCTACTCTCCTGCTCACCAAACCGTCACCGCTTGTCTCTCTTTCTCTCTCCAGATCGACGCAGCAGTGCCGAAGGGCGGCGGCGCATGATGGATTCAGTCTGCGCGGCGATGGTGACGGATTTGGTTTTTGAAGATGGATCAATCGCGAAGGCTAACAGATTTGCCTTTGAGATTCCATTGCGTGTTCGGTTATGGCCTAGCGCTTCCAATCTCTGTCCCAGACGCCGCCATCCGCTGGAAACTTGCCACCACTGCCGCCGCTCCTCCTCTGCCTCCCGATCCTTGTCTCGCCAAACAACAGATTTTCACACCCTCGTCCGCCGCCATCCTTCTCCAGCTGTGCCGCTACTACTCCTCTCTCGAACCAGAGATTTGCCATCGATGGCAGATCTCTCTCCGCCGCCACCGCATCATTTGTGATCTCGTCCAGATTACGAAGAGGAAAAAGGGGCGAGATTTCTCTCTCTCCACCGTCTCTCTCCCTTATTCAAACACAGAATAGAAGCAAAATGAGAGAGAGTTAGAAACGTTGTCTCTCACATGGCGGTGAACGAGACGGCGGTGGTGCCGAATCTGGATCCTTCAAAGCCCGACCAAAATAGCAAGGTGATTATAGAGTTTATGCTTATACTCCTTACCAAGAATCACTATTGTTTTTCCTCTTTGGGTAAATTAGGCTTTCCTTCATAACATATATGTCATTTTATTAAAATTATCAGGTTAATTAACAATTTATACTATATATTAAATAAAAAAAGGTTTTTAACCCACAAAATTTTCTGATTTTTTAATTTTTTAAAAAAAAAATCTTATCATTTATTAATTTCTCCCAACCTCCAAGTCTTACTCTCATAATAACACTTTAATACATTAAGAACAAGTATTAAAAAAATTCTTTGAAATCCAACATATATGAATTCTTTAAAAAGTTTCAACACATATGATTATTATCCCTCATAATAACACTTTAATGCATTAAGAACAAATATAAAAAAAATTCTTGAAAAGTTCAGCACATATAATTATTATCAAAATATTAAACTTTAATATAATATAATAAAAAAAATATTTAATTCCTTAAAAAGTCTAACACATATGATTATTATCAAAATATTAAATTTTAATATAATATAAAAAAGGAAAAAAAAAAGACATTTAAAATAAAATAAAAAGACATTTAAAAATCACAATTCACATATATAGATAATTGTAAACATTTATTAACTTCTCCCAACGCTCAAGTCTTACGCTCATAATAACATTTTAATGCATTAAGAACAAGTATAAAAAAAATTCTTTGAAATCCAACACATATGAATTCCTTGAAAAGTCTCAACACGTATGATTATTATCCATTATAATAGCACTTTAATGTAAGAACAAGTATAAAAAAAATTTCTTAAAAAATGCAACACATATGATTATTATCAAAATATTAAACTTTAATATAATATAATAAAAAAAGACATTTAATTCCTTGAAAAGTCTAACACGTATGATTGTTATCAAAATAAACTTTAATATAATATAAAAAAGGAAAAAAAGAAAACATTTAAAAAAATAAGATATTTAAAAATCGCAATTCACATAAATAGATATTTGTAAATATAATCCGTGCATAGCACAGGTGATATGCTAATTGTTAATTATGTTAAAATTTTATTTCAATTAATAATTCAGATAATTTTATTATTGTATCAGGAATAGTTAGAAATTTTATTTTTTTAATTAATTCTATCAAATAAAAAATTCTGACAAAGAAATATTTATAATTTTTTAAATCATAAAAAATAATTCGTATTTTAAACAAATCTAAGAATTATATTTGTAATTTATCATTTCTCTCTAGTATATCAATTGTCAGGTGATTAAGTTTTAATTTAATGGCAGACTTCTTCTTTCTATGCATGTTAGAGAGCGTTAAGATTCTCTAGTGTGAAATAGTAGAGTGATCTGCTATAGTGAATTTATGAGGGCGTGACATCTGTCCCAGATCAAGGGTGAAGATCAATCCCTCACCAAAACGACATCGTTTTGGTGAAAAAAAAAAAAAAAAAAAAACGTGAAAATAGAAATGTAGGGAGAGAGAGAGGACACACAGCCACCGGACCAGAGTTTTTCTCCATCTCCGGCACATCTTCCTTCCCTCCCGGCGACCATACCCCTTCCCTCCCCTTCTCCTTTTTTCTTCTTCTTCTTCTTCTTCTTCTTCTTCTTCTTCTATGCCGGAGTTCTTTCGAAGCCATAACCCAATGAAGAACACCATTCACAAGAACCCCACTTTGGTTAACCAAAATCGAATAACAGGGTTCAGTAATCATATTCTAAGAATTGCTTTTCGAATCATAAATCAAAACAAGGGTTCAAAGTATTGCCAGTGAATAATCACCCTGTAATCATCAATATTGGGATTGTAACAAATTCCGTGAAGTCCAAAGTCATTGAACTCAAAAGGGGGCCAAATTTCCTTGTATGATCTGATCGATGGGTTCCACAAAACAAAAGACTTGCTGGGATTTCTGGTGAACAGAAAGGGCTTGTAAGAAACGGACAAGAGCACCAACCCATCACAGGAACACAAGGGTGTCGTCTTCTTTTCTTCTAACTTCAACTATCCAACAGCTACTAGTAGTGAGTGAGAAAGAGGCGGGTGTGTGCTTTTTATAGGCCATTTTTTGCTTTTCTCTTGTTTATCTTCATGGATTTGTTCTTATCTTTTGACAGGTAGTGTTTGATGATCAAGAAAAGTTATTGAGAAACTACATTTTGCTTGTGAATTTGTTTGATTCTTTCTTGCAATTCATGGTTCTATAAAGCTTGACTGTATCTGGAAAGTTTTTTTTCTTTTTTTTTTTTAGGTGGGAAAAAGTATTTACTTCGGTGGTTGTGTCCCCTCTCTCTCTCTCTCTCACTCTTCGTTTCTCTTTTCACTTTTTTTTATTTTTTATTTTTTAATTTAAAAATTTTCCCATCAAAACAACGTTATTTGGAAAGGGATTGATCTCAATCCTTAGTTCCATTAGTGGGACAAGTGTTGCGCCCTCATAAATTCAGTGTAGGAGATCACTCTACCATTTCACTATAGAAGATCTTCACGCATTTTGTGAATTACCACAACATAGAGTTGCATTATTCTGCTGATCTACCATGCATTAATGTTGGGAAGCTAAAGCGTCCTACTACTTCCCTCTTGAGGTGCAATGATGATTTATTATAGTCATGTGTTGGATCACATCTTTCCTTGCTGCTTGTGATGATGTCTGTGGCTAATGCTCAATGTATGAGTTGTTTGTTTTTCATTAATAGGATTCCAAGATACATGTTTTATTAATTGGTCACGTTAATGTTTTGATTAATGAATAACTGAGGTTTGGGTGGATCTGTGAGTAGTTAAGGCATTGCAACAATCCATGATTGTCGAGAGCAGCAAAACTTCTTGGAAACAAATTGAACAAATAAAAGGCAAGGTAGATCTGTTCAAAAAAAATGAACAGATAATAATCGAAGTTCTTTATGGAGTTAAACAAATAAAGGAAAAAATTGAACAAATAAAGAATTTCGACCAATCATATCTGGTCTAATATTTGAAGAGATAAGGAAAAAAAAGTAAAGATATTCAAAAAATTTGAGCAAATAATAAATTAGACATAAGGAAAATTTGAATTAAAAGATTCAAAAAGTAAACACGTAGGAAAAAAAAATTTGAACAGATAGAAAAAAATTTGAATAGATAGGGAAAAATTTAAACAAATAGTCAATGAAAGTCAACAGATAAAGTAAGAGGTAAAATTAGAAACAAAATGTCTTCCATAACTATTAAAATGATTTCTTACCAAACTATTTCACAAAATGTGAATTTTTCACTAACAAAAATTATCTATTAGACATAATGCTTTATACCCTAATTATTTTGAATTTTTTAACAATTATCTCTTTAATTTAAATTTTAATCAAAAAATGCTTATTTACCCCAATGATTTTTCCCCCCAAATTAGGGGCTTTTGGCAATAGCGATATTATTTTTTCTTCTCTCATTGATATCTTTTTCTCATTTTCTTTTTGCATTTTACAAATTAATTAAAGAAAAGTACATTGAACAGTTTTTACCTCAACTATTGCCTTAAAAAGAGTTGAAGTTTAGATTTGAAAAGTCTTTGCCAAGAAAAATAGAGTTTTGAGAAATAAAACATGTAGTTGGAAAGTAATATAAACTCCAAAATTTAAGAGTTGTATTTTAGCAGAATAAAATAAAATAAAATGTAAGTTGCAAAATTTGACAACATGTTTGCCTATTAAAGAGAGTAGTAAACATAGGCGCTGTTTGGGAAGTGGCTAAAGAGGCTATTATAGTCTAAAATGAAAATTTAGCCAAAAAGCCCACTCTTGAAAGCTTTTTCAAAAATAAAAAATAAAAAAAAGCTGCACAGCCGGCAGTGTAGGCACAGCCTACACTGTCAGCTACAGAAGTTATTCCATCAATAAGTAAATTACGAGTTTACCCTTTGACATCAATTTAAAAAAATATATTTTTATGGACAAATTTGTCATTTTAATTTCAAATATCATTTTAACACATTTTTCAATACAACAACTCAAATAAAATCCATCTCATCTTCCCAAACACAAAAACTAAAATAGCCTATTAAAATAGCTAAAAAGTCAAATAACCTACTAAAATAATCACTTTCCAAACGAGGCCATAATTGGAGGGTTCAATGGTTTTAAGGAAGCTTGAGATCAACTGTAAATTCTGAGGTCTAAAGGTAGGCCATGTTATTAGAGATGGAATTTGAGGGGACAAAATTAGAGGATGTGGCACTACTTTTAATTCAATTATCAATAACAATGTCTCATCAATATATGAAGAATAACTTTACATATATTAATAATCTAATTAAATATACAATAGACTTGTTAATGTATATGTGGTATTCCTAAATATATTATGTATTGATTTCCTAGATACATTTAGGAATAATCATAGTTAGGTTTCTAATAAAATACTCTTTTTCATAATTAGATTTTTAGTAGGATACTCTTTCTCAGCCTATATATACATGCCTTTTATTATATAGAATACATTCAACTCTACAATTATTCAATACAATTCATTTAATACAATTCATTCAATACAATACATATTATTCTCTCTCTCTACTATTCTAACATGGTATCAGAGCTATAGGTTAAGTTCTTGGTGTTTTCGCCTTACCAGCGGGCGACAGCTTTGCTTTGGCCGCCCACCGGACCTCAACCCATTCCACTGTCATATTTTCCTATCAATATCGCTTCGTGGTGATCTCTTCCTTTATCCGCTGGTTTATTCCTACCTTAAATATCTCTATCATATATTTTTTTTGCGCTTCTGCTCCACTCTGTCTTTCCCTCTGTTTCAACCTCAATAAGTTTCTATGTTCAAATCTATTTGAGTTTGAGGAGGGGTATTATACCTATATCATGGTGAGCATGGTGATATACCATGTAAACCACCTAAGTCCCAAACCACCACTAAGCTGTCTCATTGGCGCACCATCTAAGTCGTTTCCTTGGTGCACGGCCTCTTTTGGCGCACTCTCTAAGCCGTCCCATTGGCGCATTACCTAAGCCGTCTCCTTTTGCCGCACTCTTTAAGCAGTCTTCTTGGCGCACCACCAAAGTCGCCCCCTGGCGCACTATCCATGCTGTCCCCTAGCGCACTCAATTATCTGTTGCCATCATCGTTCAGCACCACGTCATTAGTTATGTGTGTGCCACGTTTGCTGGTTCAACATCCAGTTCTCTACATCGGTCCGGTATGACTCCTTTAAACTGTCTCTACATCGGTCCGGCATGACCCCTTTAGTAACATTGTTAGTAAAATTTTAACGTCGTATTTGGTTGGGAAATTTAGAAAGGAAAAAGAAAAATGTGAATAAAATATACTTATATTTCACATAATTTCACACGCCTTTTCATTTTCTCTTCGAATTCCTTTTCAAATCTCCCAACCAAACACAGCCTAAATAAATGTAGAATTGTTTATATATGAATTGCGTGATTGCAATATTCGGGATTAAATTTTCTTTTTGTCTTGAAAATGAAAATATTATTATAAAAATATCAAAATATCAATTTTTATTTGTATAAAATTTTTAAAATATTGTTAATAAATATATTTGTAGAGACTAATAATTTGAGAAAATATCAAAAAGATGGAAAGTAAAAAACATAGTTACAAACTCATAAAAATACAAGTGATTTATGCATTGGATTGTGCAAATGATTGTTATACTTTTTATGAATTTGTAATTATTTTTTCTACTTCCCAAGTTTTCGATATTTTTCCAAATAATTTCATGCCAAAAAAGTTTAACGAAATTTTTGGTTCCAAAAAGAAAATAATTCGTTAAAAAATGTCTAATTTCATTACTAAAACAATAACAATGGCACTTTCCACAATTAAAATATTGGGTACATTAAGTTATTTTCAAAAAACTTCACCACTACAATCCAATTAGAAATTTACCAATTTAAAGGAAAATTCAAAAGATCACCGCACAATACATTTCTACCAATAGGCCAACTGTTTTGGCAAGTGATTTTGGGACTAAAATAATCATAAAAGACAAAATAAGCTATTTTACTTACAACAAACAAAACATCACATCTAACCGATAATCATTACACTCTTCTCTCACAAAAAAAGTCAAAAAAGTCAAAAAACCAAAAAACTCTTCCCAAACTACTTTTTAACCTAAACTAAAATAGCCAAAAAAAGTCAAAAAATCAAAAAACCAACCCACTTTCCAAATGGAGGCTCAATCTCTTAAGGAAAATAAATATTAAAAAAAAACCAAGAGAATTGGACCTCATTCAAATTAAACCTTTTTTCTTTTAAACAAAACAATAACATCTCAATTAGGATAAAAACCTGTGCCAAGCTCCCAATGCAAATGTTAACTCTCTCACGCAACATTGATTCATCCCACTAAAAATATCACCACTAATAGTACTAATGCATTAAAAAAAGTAAAAAAAAAAAAAAAAAAATACAACTCCAAGACCAAAACATCACATCATTAATGGAGGGACCCACTGCCACCTAATTAGTGGGAGCACTAATTAGTGCTCCCCAGCATTATTCCTCTCCCACGGGTGCGTGTGGGGACTGAAGCATCTGAATTAGTTGTTGGACAACACCTTTTTGAACAATGTGCACCTGTACAAATCATACACTAAGGGTCTATTTGGTAACGTTTACGTTTTCAGTTTATATTTACAAAAATTTTATAAACTGGTTTTTGTTTATTTTTAGAAAAACATAAACTACAAACGCGTTTGGTAATTGACAAAATGTTTAAAAAAATTTAAAAATATAAAAAAGAGTGGGAAATGGCAAGTGGTGGCATGTTGCGGCGGAAGACGGTGGTGGAAAGTGGTGACGGTGGGTGGTGGGTAGCTGGTGGTGGTGGTAAGTGGGTGGCGAGTGGTGGTGGTGGTGGTGGTGGAAGGTGGGTGGTGGGTGGTGATGGTAGGTGGGTGGGTGACGGTGACGGTGACGGTGACGGTGACGGGTGGTGGTGGTGGTGGTGGTGGGTGGTGGGTGGTGGTGACAGGTGTGTGGCGGGTGGTGGCGGGTGGGTGATGGTGAGGGGTGATAGTGGGTGGGTAGGTGACAGTGGCGGGTGGTGGGTGGTAACGAGTGTGTGGTGGCG